AAAAATGATAAAGAAAAGCTTGAAGAAGTACGATTAAAAATCATTTAGATGATAATTAGTAGCATCGATGTTTTTTTTTCCATACCCAGTTAACAGAAAAGTTATTTGGCTATCCTTTGTCATCGAATGTAGTTCTACAACCGGTCGCATCGCCAGTCCATGTACACTTGAAGAAACCTTTGCATGAAGATCTCATTTGTGATCCTTTTGCCAATGAACTAGCCAAAATGAAATTAAAATGAACAGTGTACTCAGAAATCATGCCCAGATAATTATGAACCGTGGTGATTCTGTAAATGTTGTCTTTGTTTGATGATAGAAATAAAATTTGAAAAAGTCTTCGTTTACAATGAAACATAAATACTCAAAATAAATAAAAGCTTTGTTTTTAATTTCTTTTTAGATTTAATGATTTCAAAAAATTTCAAACAAAACAAATTGATAACAATCATATAGTTCACAATTCTTCACTACTGTTTTCATCAAATATTGGTCAGTAGAATATAATGAACATATTGGGTTTTAAGCTTGTATTTCTATTTTTTCTAGGCATTTCTCGACTGTGACATTCAGTTCAGTAGACATCACCATGTTTATGTTTATAATCACACTAGTCTGAGTGCTTATGCCACTCATCAAGCGATAGAATCTAGTTATAATGATACTGATAATGATAGGAAAAGTTGAAGTGATCACCATAATCCTTATCGAATACAATCGACTATTGATCAAAAAAGAAAAAAATCGTGTATTAGCTTTAAGACCTCATTGTTGTCTTTTATCTTATAAATATTTTGATTTATTTTTGATCAAGCTAGTAGATTTTGTATGTCTTTTCTTTGTCGGTTATATTTTTGTAAAGTATAACTTTGGTTGAGGGAAGTTTTCTCAAAATTGATACTTCATAGTCCGTTTCATTTGTCTTATAGATAACAATAATCTTCTACATTTTCATCGAGTATTGAACATAAAATCACCTAGAAGTTCATTTCAGCAAAAAATAAACAATATAGATCAAGATTTACTTAAAGAGAGTTTTGTTTTGAAATTTAGAAAAATGGTTTTCTTAGAATCAAACTTGGTTTACTACTTTTAATGAGTTTTCGAACACGGACGATATAGAAAAAGATTTACTCAACAATGGTGCCGAAAACACCGTAGACTTAAAACTTTTTATTAAAACAAATACATTACCATTTTGATATTGTCTATATTCAACATGAATATCTACTGATGCATCTGTTTCCGTGTTTATTAAATTTTTGAATATTTACTCTACTATACATAGTCGAGTTTCATTTTTAACTTTAAAATTGTTGTAGATTTCTTTACATTGCTTTCGATTAGATCACTTATTGATGTTCTCTTCATCAACAGACAACCAGGAAGACAATATCAATGAAGCAAATGGCTTATCACAAACAGTACATCCACTGACACCATTGGTAACGGAAGTACAAACACCAATATTAGAACAACAAGGCTATCAAACAACATTTCATGAGGAAAACATGATTGATGAAATCGACGCAATTATTCGTCGTTTGTTGACAAGTCCAAATCATCAATCCCCCTATCAATTCGCCTTTCGATGGACTGTTGCTGAAGCCCCCAGTCTCAATTATAGTGTGGTATTGACTATCCATGAGACAACATTTCCTAATTAATATATATATATATACAATAAAATACATTAGGACTATGTCCAACATAACATTCAATAAGAAACTAAGACTTTTGTTGCTGCCTATGACCATTAATTTCTGATTTCCTTTCAGATATCATTATTTGCTGTCGATAAACCAATACCAGCAGCACCTAAATCATCGATTTTCACAGAACAAAAAGTAAACCATAGAACAGGCAGAGTGTTATACAATCCACTGCATATTTCAATAATTTTTCATGAACTTTCTACCTTAATCATTCTATTATGTCATCTGAACAATATCCGTCGTCACGTCGCACATATTACATACAAGAAGAACAAGAACTTCTAAATTATGTTCGTCAACATCGTTCTCAATAAAAAACACAAGGTATCTCAACTCCATTTTAATTTCTTTTGTATATAACATATCAGTACCGCTCATATCTAGATCAAAAATCGGCAATTCTTGCTTCTAAAGACATTACAAATACAAATGCACCAAAAGATATTCAACTTTGAAACACGATAAAATTCACAAATTCTTGTGAATAGAACTCTTCTTTGTTGCTGACTTTAAAACTTTCTTCTGATTTAAAATTTAATTTAATTCTATGCAGTATCTCCTAATTCCAAATTTACCTGATGAGTCCCTTAAGCAAGGACGAAACCGGTCGTGAGTAGCTTGGAATTACTTCTATAAACACACCCATTTAAAAATACTGTGAAAATAATTAAATTTAATCTCAACATTAGATTGCTGTTGAAAGTCTGGGATGTTTAATCCTTTGCTTTTATAATTTTCTATTGCTTTGAAATTTAATTTAATTCTATGCAGTATCTCCTAATTCCAAATTTACCTGATGAGTCCCTTAAGCAAGGACGAAACCGGTCGTGAGTAGCTTGGAATTACTTCTATAAACACACCCACACCCACACCCTCTTAGTGCTATATGATGACTTCTCTTCTGTTCGCTTTTTCTCTGGGGATTAAGATTCGCGTTAAAACAGATCCATGTGGATCGTCATATAGATTACGATAGTTGTGCGTAAGGTCACTGTGGCTGTCTGAAGTGGCTATCCCACCAGTCAGAGCAGGATCAAGGCCTTATTAGATCCAATGTTTAGTGTTTCAGTGGAAAGGAACATGAAAAAAAAAGACATAAAAGATTAAGATTGAGCCTAGACGTTTCTCACTTTTTTCATTTTCCTTCACGTGTTTTGTTACTGTTCATTTTATGGTTGTTCTTGTTTGTAATTCAAATCTGTTTCTTTATAAAATTGG